CTAATTTATGCAGTAGCCAGGTCGCTCGCTCACAACTTTTTTGCTCGCGAGACTCCACAGCTTAGAAGGAGCATTGCGCAGAACTCAATACCCGGGTCAACAGAGAACGCCGAAAACACAATATCCACTGAGACATGGGCTGTTGGGCAGGAGGATAGACATCCATTACTGTTTTATTCACTGCTTGTATTCTTCGGACAGCGCTGGCTCTTCGGCTTGGAAACGGAGATGAGCACCGCAACCCTAAAGTCGGATTCAACTGGCTTTCGAGCAAGGGAACCTTTACCTGTATTCCTGGGGAAGGAACGGTGGAGTGAGAGAGGCTTCAATGAAATCTACATTCATTCCCTTCCCCCTCCAAATTCGTTCCTGTGGCTAGGTAGCCGAACTGAAACGGTCTTGCTTGAGACCATGCACTCTTGAAAGGCAAAGCACGAACCCCGGTTCACGCGTTACAGTGGCTCAGTGGCAAAGCCTCTGCTGGACTCGACTGGCTTTCGAGCAAGGGAACCTTTACCTTTACCTGTATTCCTGGGGAGGGAACGGTGGAGTGAGAGAGGTTTCAATGAAATCTACATTCATTCCCTTCCCCCTCCAAATTCATTCCTGTGGCTAGGTAGCTGAACTGAAACGGTCTTGCTTGAGACCGTGCGCACTTGAAAGGCAAAGCACAAACCCCCGGTTCACGCGTTACAGTGGCTCAGTGGCGAAGCCTCTGCCTTGGCACGCAGAAGGTCCCAGATTCATTCCCCGGCACCTCCAGCTGAAAAGGACCAGGCAGCGGGTGATGGCAAAGACCTCTCTGCCTGAGACCCTGGAGAGATGCTGCCGGTCTGAGTAGACAGTGCTGACCTTGATGGACTATTGGCCTCATTCATTATAAGGCAGCTTCACAGAATGGGAAAGGGCCATGGAAAATCTTAACCCCCTTATTGGTAAGGAACTCAATGGACGCTGACATATCCCAGCCTTCGGCCTCACTGAGGCAGTCGGCTGTACAACCACAGACTGCAGGTGGCAGCCCCCATCACTGAATCCTCCTCTCTACCGGTAAATATCCTTGCACTTAGAGTTTTAGCATGTTAATGATAAGGCCCCTGGAATACTAGCTTTCTTGCTGCAGGGAATTCATATGCACAGAGGAACGTTCCATAGGGAGACCCTCCCCCCCACCACACCATACTATTTTATACAGAGAGTGATTAAAATGTGGAATACGCTGCCAGAGGATGTATTGATGGCCACAGGAATAAACAGCTTTCAAAGGGGATTAGATAGATGCATGGAGGATAAGTCTCTCAATGGCTCCTAGCCATGGTGTCTGAGGGGAACCTTCATATCCAGCAGGGCTCCTTCTGGTATTATTATGAAGGCCTCAGCCTCTGTGCCCTGTTTTTGGCCATCCAGAGGAATTGGCTGGACACTGCGTGGGACAGGATGCTGGACTAGATGGACCATTGGTCTGATCCAGCAGGGCTCTTCTGAGGTTCTTATGAAGGCCTCGGCCTCTCTGCCCTGTTGTTGGCCCTAAGGAGGAACTGTTGGCCGCTGTGTGAGACAGGATGCTGAACTACATGGACCCTCACTGGTCTTATCCAGCAGGGCTCTTCTGATGTTCTTATAAAGGCCTCGACCTCTCTGCCCTGTTGTTGGCCATCCAGAGGAACTGGTCAGCCACAGTGTGAGACTGGATGCTGGACCAGATGGAACACTGGTCTGACCCAGCAGGGCTCTTCTGATGTTCTTATGAAGGCCTCAGCCTCTATGCCCTGTTATTGGCCCTCCAGAGGAACTGGTCAGCCACTGGGTGAGACAGGACGCTGGACCAGATGGACCACTGGCCTGATCCCGCAGGGCTCTTCTGATGATCTTAGGAAGGCCTCGGCCTCTATGCCCTGTTGTTAGACCTCCAGAGGAACTGCTTGGCCCCTGTGTGAGGCAGGATGCTGGACGAGATGGACCTCTGGTCTGATCCAACAGGGCTCTTCTGATGTTCTTACAAAGGCCTCAGCCTCTATGCCCTGTTGTTAGACCTCCAGAGGAACTGGTTGGCCGCTGTGTGAGGCAGGATGCTGGACCAGATGGACCACTGGTCTGATCCAGCAGGGCTCTTCTGATGTTCTTAGGAAGGCCTCGGCCTCTACGCCCTGTTGTTGGCCCTCCAGAGGAACTGGTTGCCACTGTGTGAGACAGGACGCTGGACTAGATGGACTACTGTTCTGATCCAGCAGGGCTTTTAAAGTTCTGATGTTCTTATCCTGAAATGCAACTCTTTGTTCACAAAACGGGCCCCACAGCGCCCTCCCATCTACAACTCTCTGGCATCAGCGAACTGCCCCCCCACCCCATTCAATCAGCCAGTTTGAGTCCAAGTGGAAAGAGAATCGATCTGAGCGTGAGGACCAGATCCTGAGAAGGAAGCTGCGCAGAACAGATCTGGTCTTAGTTCAAATCCTGAGACCCAAAGGTTCAGCCCAGAGCAATTTGGTCGGGAGCAATAAGAAGGCCTTTTCATCTGGAGCACATTTCTCTCTGAACATTGCTAAATGTGAGACAGAAAGCAGAAAGGCCTCCTTTTCGAATCAAAGGCACATGCAGATCAACGCAACGTTTTAATTTCAACAGCAGCCCACCGTGAAATTATCCAGACGTAAAACTCATCTCCTCCTCCTCTTATTTGCCCTTTCTTGTTTGTTTTCTTTCTCCTCTGCTCTTTTTAAACTTTTTCCGCCTTCTTCTCTCCGTCACCCACCCTTCATTTGAGTTTCTGTTTCTCGTTCTGTGGCCCATTCCTGTGCTCTCCCAACTTGCCTCTGGCCTATCCGCCCCTCAATTTTCTCTGTCCCTGCGGATCTCTTTCCATTCCTCAGCTGCACGCCAAAGCTGCCCCTTCGGTTTATGCGAAGCTTTAATCCCCAGCCAAACTGACAATTTCCCTGTCACTCACAGAAGCAGGACTCTCGCCTGAGCATTTGGAATGATCATGAACGTTCCGTGACATCACAGACTGACAGAGGCTGGGGAACGAATGTCACTGACGAAGATGACCCGCCTCCTCTGAGGCCTAAGTCTGAAGACCAGTGTGGACACTTTTGTTTGTTTCCCTTGAAATTATCACTCACATCCTGACATCGGCTATTGGCTAAGCACTGGTCAAGTCATTTGCGGCGTCTTCCTCCAAAGCGGCTTCTAAATCTGTTCAATTTGGGGAAGCGATTAAGGCTCCTAAATTTAGAAGCCTTAATCGTCTCCCTAAATTGAACAGACTTGAAGGCTTAATTTAGAAGCCTTAATTGTTTTCATAAATGAAGAAGAGAGGAGAAGAAAAGAAGAAGAGATTGGATTTATACCCCGCCCTTCACTACTCAAAGGAGTCTCAGAGTGGCTTACAATCTCCTTTCCCTCCCCAACAGACACCCCATGAGGAAGGTGGGGCTGAGAGAGCTCTTTCCAGAACTGCCCTTGCGAGAACAGCTCTGAAAGAGCTTGTAAATGACCCAAGGTCCCACCAGCAGCTGCATGTGGAAGGAGTGGGGAATCAAACCTGATTCTCCCAAATTAGAGTCTGCGCTCCTAACCACTACACCAAAATGGCTCTCAGTTGAACAGCCTTTAAGGCTTAATTTAGAAGCCTTCCTTACTTTAACAAATGAAACAACCGAGGAATGAGTACCTGTTTTCTAGTGAGAGGTTCCTAATTGTAAAATGGTACGGTGAACAGAAACAGGGATTATGCTTTACTGAAAACTTGGGAACCATCTTCTTTGGTCACTATTTCCTTTAGCTGTTGACTCTAAGGAAGCATCCCCTTGGAGAATATAATAAGATGAACCTGTTTTGTGGTATTATGCACGTCCTATGATCTGCCAGATGTTATAAGGCAGGACCATTATCCGGCGACATCGTCTCTCAGCAGCCGGTGGCAAATATCTCGTGTTCGCCAACCTCCCCAAGAACCGACTCGACTAAAGACTGGTTCAGCTACATTGTTGAGGCATATTCTGGGTCCCTTTGACTTTGGCAGCCGCACTAGCAGGCTTGGAAATAAGGGAGGAGACCTTGCCCAAATAGACTAACAGAAAAGTAGATCAATGAAAGTGTCAACTTGAAGGTCAGTTTGAATGCAAGACTCCTATATAGGATTGGTTCCTGAGGAAAGACCAGAGGTCTGAAACACTTAAATATCCAGGAAAAAAGTGTTGAAAGAGAGACACGGATTGATTGAATTTGGAGCAGACTGCTTTTGAGAATACAAGACTGTTAGAGGGAAATAAGATTGAGAGACTCTGGAGCAGACTGCTCTGAGAAATCTTATCGACCTTTATATTTTTTTCTATGAAGGAATCAAGTGGTTGGGGGTTTTTTTATTACCAGACACTAAATGTTGCTATGGGTCTCAGAAGAGAAGAGATTGGCTTTATACCCCGCCCTTCACTCCCTGAAGGAGTCTCAGAGCGCCTTACAAACTCCTTTCCCTTCCCCTCCCCACAACAGACACCCGGTGAGCAACGCTCCCTCTAAGCTGCGGAGTCTTGTGAGCAAAAATTCTACTTGGTGAGCGACTGGCATTAAAGTTGTGAGCGAGCGATTTGGCTCCTGCATAAATTTGTTTGCTCCGGAGCCATCCTTCCTGAGCGAAGACAGAAATGTGTGAGTCGGAGGCTAGAAAACTGTGAGCTAGCTCATATTAACTCAGCTTGAGGGAACACTGCCTGTGAGGTAGGTAGGGGCTGAGAGAGCTCTTTCGAGGACTGCTCTTGAGAGAACAGCTCTGAAAGAACTTGCAACCGACCAAGGGTCACACCATCAGCTGCATGCGGAGGAGCGGGGAATCAAACCCGCTTCTCCCCGATCAGAGTCCATCCTCCTAGCCGCGACACCAAATGGGCTCTCTAATCTGGTCTCTTTTGTCGTTGCATGGGTTTGTGGGCACCCAGCACACATCTGCATGATTTCGCCCATCAGACTGCAACAGGAAGCGAGCCGCGCTCCGCGCTTACCTTTCTGGAGATGGATAATATCCGGGAAGTTGGAAAGGAGTCCCTGGTACAAGGAGAGGGTGTCCAGCATGAGGAAGAGGTCGTTCTTGGGCTGCTCGGCGAACATCTCCCCCACCGTCTCGTAGGTCTTGCCCGTGTGGGAGATGGCGCCGTTGAGGGCGTCCAGGCTGTACGGCGGGTCCATGTGGAACGAGTGGCTGATGGCCTGGAAGGCGTTGCCCAGCTTCTGGAACTCCTTGCGGAAGCCCCCGACGTGCTTGCGGGCCAGCTCGGAGGCCACGTTGGCCAGCTGGAGGACGCTGTCGTCCATCTTCTTGCTGAAGGCCTTGAAGGTGTCCACCCGGTCCTCCACGTCCT